GCTCCAATGCATTTATCAAAATACGGAGCAAACCGAGGAGATTGTAACCTTCTATGAATAGTTGAAAATTGTGTATCCTTTGGCCTAATGATATCAATTGCTAGCTTGATCACACTAGACTGTACCTTATCAAACTTGTTGCTACATGTCCCTAGTGACCTCTCAAATTTATTATCAGCTTGTCTCATGGACCGAGGGGCACCACACATCCACAAAAACATTGCTAGAGCCTCTATAAAAGTCATTTTTGTAGTGGACTGCAGACCATATCTCTGAACTAGCAAAGTGTGAAGGCTATAAAAAACATCGCTGTGCATCCTAAATATGTTATATCATTGTGTCCTATTTCCTAGGGTTCTCATAGTCCACTGATATCCAGTTTCATGTGGGACTCTATAACCAGCTTTGTTCATGAACTTGTCACAGTGGTACATACCTAGTAGCATGACAGTAGTAGCAATCCTTCTCCTCTTTTGCTGACACCTAGCAACATACATCAGCAGCGCTGCTTCCTCATCATCAGTGAAGTCCCCTTCATCATCAACATCTGACCAATCATCATCAGTCGTCCACTTGTCATCTGAGTCTTCATCTGACCAATCATCATCAGTAGTTCTCCACAAATCATCATCAGAAAGTCCAGTAGCATCAACATCAGCCCCTCCTGCAGCAGCCCCTACACCAGCATCCACTCCAGCAGCAGCCCCTACACCAGCATCCACTCCTCCAGCACCCCCTACACCAGCATCCACTCCAGCAATAGCCTGGTCATCAAAAGAAATAGATGTTAAAAGAGCATTGAATGTTAATATGAAAAAAATGGCAGCCCCTACACCAACATCAACAACAATGGCAGCAACACCCATTACATTGTTCACCAAGTAATACAAGGTTCATTACGATTACATAGTTCATCATAAATTTAAAGTCTTAAGCAAAATAAAATTAAGGGTGCCAAACTGGAGACTCCATCTGCCATTCTATCCTATCGTCCTCATTTATTTTTGGCAGCCCTACCTAGCCATGCCATCCTTTGCTCATTTGTATCAAGACCACTAAAGATGAACCTGTTGTAGGTACTTCTAAACAACATGGTAGCAGCAAAGTATTCATTTGAAGCTTTGTCTGCCCCAGCCTCAACAGCCAAACTGAGGCACCTAGCAACATCATCAGCTCTTGCTTGCTTTGCTTTTGTAGCTTCCCCTCTCTTGCTCTGTGCTATTCGCTCCAATGCATTGACTTCGTTCTCAGCAGCAATCTCCAATCGAGTGACCAACCCCTGCATGATAACAGTCACTGGAACTTTTTTGTTCTTGCCAGGACTTGATGCTGTGTCAGTTGTGCTGCTTGCCCTCTTACGGTTGTTTGTGATACTTGGTGAACTGGGCTGTAAGTCACAGTTCTCTGGAGTAGCAGCACCATCTTCATCATCCTCATCTATCCCTGTGTCTTGGTCATGGCATGACTGCCCAGGAATGGTGGCAGTTGATCCATCAACAGCAGTGTTCTGGAAGAGCTCAACCATCTGAGGAAAGAATCTAGGCAAACCATACATGAATTTCCTACAGTCTGGCTTCTTCTGAAAAATCACAAGAATCCAATGTTAGCACAAACCAATAAGAAAGTAGAACAAGCAAACAAATTATTAGGCACAAAGATTACCCTGGTATGCCTATCCCACCAAGATAGAGGTGCATCTATCCCTCTGTTTTCTTGGCGGCCAACACCTGTTTGTAGTTGTGCCCACTTGTAGAAACTGTACATAGCCTTGAGCTGGCTGAATCTATTCTTCATACATCTAAGATCATGCTTTAGGCTAGTCTATTGCTCATACAAATCTCTCAAATTATCATACCCTCTCCTTGTCATTGTCCCCTTACTTGAATTGCCCTTTCTCATTTCATCAACAGCAAGACAAGAGAACACAAATGTATTTGCATCGGACCAATTTGTCTTGTCAAACTAGTAGAGAAGCAGATCAGAGAACAAATACAAAGTTGTAGATATAGACAGATATAGATCAAACAAATACACAATACTACATGAAACATGTACACACTTCAATAACAAACAACTAAAAAGTGGTAGTTCATACAAACTTGTAGATCAAACAAATACAACCTAACAAACACCTATACATCAAACATATTAGACAAATAAAGATCTGAACATCAAACAAATAAAACCTAACACATCAATTCAAATGAAAAGTATGAGAATGTAGTAAAAAAATAGACATGCAAAACCATAAATGACATGCATAACATAGATAATACAAGGTACGAATCATATCAGAGAACAAGCTCACTTCGTGCGGGATGTCGTCGTCAGCTTCTGGCTCCATTCCTTCAGTTGGAGGAGCCCAGCTACCCGAAGCAACTGAACCACGCAGCCTAGCTGCCGGCGCGCGGGCACGGCTACTACCGGTTCCCACCCTGGAGCGGCGGACAGCAGCGCGAGAAGCTGGGTGTTTCGTAGATCCGGTCGCTCCTGTGGTCGGCCAAGGAGGAACGAACCCTCCTCCACCGGATCTGGCGCCAATGCGAAGAGGAAGCATCCCTCTACCGCCGGGAGCGAGGACACCTTGCAGGAGCCCCTGGTAAGAGCCCATGTAGGGGAAGCCGACGGCGTCGGTGTTCAGATCCTGCCCCTCCATGCCGCGTCTAGTGGAGGAGCCCACATCATATGATGAACCTTGGGAGAAGACGCTGAAGTCGCCGGCGACGGGGGGAACGACAGACCGGAGCCATTCAGATTCGCTGGAGAAGAGGACTGCGAGTAATAGTCCGGATACTCGGACCCGTGGCCGTCCATGGCGGAAGCGGTGAGCGGAGGAGGTGCTACGCCAGCAGAGGGGTTGAGAGGAGTGGCGGCGGCGTGGAGCGAACTGGTGGTGGCGGTGGGGAAAGCAGAGGAGAGCGAGCGCGCGCGAGAGAGAGAGAGAGAGTGAGCGAGCTGAGAGAGTGAGGAGTGAGGGGTACGGTGCGCATTGATGAAGGGCAAGCGTTGTCCGGCGGTGGTTTTAGGAGGTTCTAGTAACGATTTCGTTACTAGCGTCTAGTAAGTAGTTTAGGAAGTTTTAGTAGAGGTGTTTGGTAAAAAAGCTACTAAAGGGACTAAAAGCTACTAAATTTAGTAGCTACTAGCTGAACCAAACAGGCCCTCAATCATGCTATTCTATCAAATAAACCACTAGAATGTTTTAAGGTGCTCAATCCGATCCGATCCAAGCTTTTCTCTTTTACAGATCTAACCCTATCCTTTCACAATCCGCCAACTCTGTTCTGTACTATAAGCCATGACATCTATGTTTAGTTGCGAAAACCGGTGGTGAAGGCTTTGTTGTTGTTGTTGTTGTTGTTGTTGTTGTATAACCAAGCCATTTTGCCAAAACATTTGCATAAAGGACTCCAACTTCATCAGACAAGCCGCTTTTTCAACATGAGCTAGAGCCGAAGCTGTTTTAGAGCCGGAGCCCTACCAAATCGTACCAAATAGATCGACCCTTACATGATATTAGGTCTAAAGATCTTCACTTTGTGTTGGCGCAAGATGACACATATGTGACTTTCCCTTTGAACTTTACGGTCCATAGTCTATACTAATTCTCTCATTTGCTAAGATCATACCGTTTCCTTAGAGCATATCCAATAGTTCCCAAAACCAACTCCCAATCCTAGTTTTCTTTAGCAAGGTTAAAAAAAAGGTCTCTCCAACAACTCCTTATCCCAACTCTCAATGTTTCCGCACTTGGAAATTCAATGCGCACGAAAAAAAATCCGCGTGGGTGGCTTGTCCCGATGTTTCTTTCTTCACAACATTTCTTTGCCCTGGAATCTTACTAGTATGCCCTAGAGCCACCACTAAACGTCTCTGGCCACCCCCAGCCACCTCTGATCTAGCCCTGCCTGGTTGCCGCCGGCTGCTGACTGCTGGGAGCTGCTATGGCCGGCTGGGGAAGGCTGCCGGCCGGTTGTGGTGGGCCTAATTAGTGTGGCTGGGAAGGCAGCGACAAGGCTACGGGTGGTAGACATGATCTACGTGTGAAGAATATCGAGATTTTATTGATTTGTTAGGAGCGAGATTTTTAGAGACGATTGGAGGAGCCCAACAAATATGCCCCCATCTTTTTGTAGTGACTTGGAAAACTTATCGATTTACCATTTTTTTCCACATTTCCGAAGCCACAAATACAAAAAATCTCCTTAAAGAAGACATGGGCAATCTTGAAATAAAGTGCACTCTTTCGTTCATATTTAACTTTATCTGACTTTTAGCCTCGTGATACCATTCATCTTGTCGCTGAATCCTAATAACTCACAATAATATGATTTGAAAGATTATATGGACCAGATTGGGATAATAAACCACACAGACGTAAAAAAAAAAAAACTAAATCCTGCGCTTTGTTTATCTCTGAAGAACACTCTTGAAATCCTTACACATCAGATTATCAATACTGGCTTGGAAGTATGGGATTTGTGCTGGCAAACAGCCGTCATTCATGAGAATTCCATTGGGGCTCCAGATGAAAAGAAGAAGAAGGAAACTACGAACTTCTCAGTAATTACGTAATCAGAGTACAATCTACTCTTGTCAGTAATTCACTGGCACTCCACTATCACGTAATCAGAGTACAATCTACAATCTACAATCAGAGTACAATCTATAATAACCGTTCCGTTCGAGGTTAGAATTATATAATAGATGATGCAGCGTGCAACGGTTAAGGGTTAATGCATGTAAAAGCAAGTCCTGTAAAGCTGGAGAAATAAAAGCTGCAATGTGTGTGACATACTGACATTGATCACCTTCACGTGTGTCATACTAATTTTGACAATCTATATATATGCTCTGACAAGGCATTTGATGATTAATACGACTGCAAATGCTCTTCTAATAATAAGTTCTAAGAATCATGTGTAGTACGCGCCTCCTCCGTTCGGTTCGAGTCGGGCTTTCCACCCCAACCTCGGCGTACCCCTTCTCGTCGACCTGCCTCAGGATGTCCTCCTCCAGGGGTCGACATGGGCCTTGTTGGCTGCTCTGAGAGCCAGGACCATCTCTCGGAGCTTAGGGTTGTGGTCGAGCAAGTCTAAAGGGAGAGGACTGGGCCTCCTCCGCAGCCTACTATTCTGAATCCTCTTGATGTACCAATCCGGCAGCGTGATGATCCTGATGCCCTCCGCCGGCTCGCGCTTGTCCTCCTCCTTCGCCGCCGGTTCCATACTGCTCCCCGCTGCCGCCGCCTTGTTCCCCGCAACCGCCAGCTTCATCGCAGCCAGGGCTGTCGACCTATCTCCGCCGAAACCGCCCTCTTCTGCGCCTCCGGCGTCGCCATGGCCGCTCACGAACCCTAAAATAACCTCTCGACATTGCCAACAAGTTCAGGACAGGGGTTGGTTGGGATCGGGTATCTTGCAATATATCTCCCCGGCCGGCCCCGCAACCCTAGACGAAGGCATCGCCGCATATCGGCCGGCTTCTTTCGTTTCCTTCTCGGCCTGGACTCCTCTCACACGTTGCGACGCGGAGGCGGATCGCGGATCCATCCATCCACCTGTTGCAAGCTGGGCTAGATGGGCCGAACCAACCCATTAGATCGTGGGGTCCCACCTGTCGGGCTCCAATCCCTTCCATCGCTGGCCCACGGTCACGGTCACGTGCACGTGCCCAAGTAGCCCAACGCGTGCTACCTGATGGATGAACTAAAAAAAAAACTGACGAAATATTAGCATGCGCACAGGAAATCCTTCGTTCATCGGGTGCTGATTTTGCTTATGACCATCTAATCTGATGAGCCATCATAATTCAGGAAGTCAGGAAACCAGCATTGCATCATGCATTCATGCTTAGATGAGATGCATGGCGTTAGTTTCACACACACACACACACACACACACACACACACACACACACACACACACACACACACACACACACAGAGAGAGAGAGAGAGAGAGAGAGAGAAATAAAATGCAGGTGTTCCCTTTACTTTCAAGGCTACCAACTTACAAATGGATAGATTTAAACATATCTGATTCTTTTCTCTTTGGTGACCACAGACAAAAGAGCTAGATCTGATGGAAGCTCAATGCCACAGGATAGTTAGTGGCCTAGAACACAATTGACCGAAAATAAGAAGAGAAAACAAACAAACTAAGACCAGGGCAAGCCTGCGGCTCTGCCTAATGTGGCATGAAGTTCGCCCTCAGATAGCCATATATAATAGTGTTAGCATATTATGAGGTGACACCAGAAAACCTTCATATATCTATACAACTAAAACATTCATAACTATTCCGTCCACAGGTGCGACACCAAAACATGGTGTCGCGCACTCGCTCCATGCGATCAGATCAGGGAGGCAACGCACACTCGCTCCATGCGATCAGCTCAATCCTTATAACAGCCGCAGCAAATCATGAAGTCAAAATATACCACCTAAAAAAATAGGTTCCGCTTTCGTCAAACTAGACTTGGTGCGCACGCCTCCCCTAGCACCGGCTCCGTTTTTTTTTCCTCGCTGTTAATTTTGGATTTCCAAAAATAACAGCATGTCCCACTAATTTAGGAAGACAAAAACGATCGGACTCCTCTGCCATGCGATTGTGTAACCGCCCGACGACGCACGTCCAAACTCCAAAGTGCTCACGATCCGATCTGTACATGCTACGTACTCCTATATACTCATCTATATATACGGCAGGGCGGCGATGGCGGTGCTGACTGAGACCTAGAGCGGCATGACGCATGAGCCTGGAAACCGGCCAAACAATGCAAATCCGCAGCACTACTGGCGGATGGACGTGCGCGTGAGTGCATGCCATGCATCCCGCGGAAGCGGCACCTGGCCGTAGCTAGCTAGCTAGGCGCAGTGACGACGTCCCCACTGGGCACAATTCACTTGCAGCTAGAGCTCGACCGATGGGTGGTGGATCAGGATCATCGGCAAGGTCACGCAGGAGGTGAAACTTGACGCCCTCCATGTCACGATAGTGCTGCTGCATGTGTGGCGTCTCGCCGTCGATGCTGCTGGCGCCGTCAAACTACGGAACTGGATATGGTGTCCCGGATGCAGGGGGCCGTCGTCGGAGCCAATAGGTATCCTGCAGCACCGTCGAACTGGACATGGTGTATCGGGTGCACGCCACCACCGTCCATCTGATGGTTGGGCGTTGTCGGAGAGAACAGTTACCCCGCAGCGCCATCGAACTGGACGTGGTGTCCTGGGTGTACACCGCCATCGGAGCGAACAAGTACGTACCCCGTGGCGCCGTCGTGGTGGGTGCGCGGGCGGCGTGCCGAACCTGATGTTGACGCCGCCATCATGGGAGTCATGGTGCTCTAGGCAAATAGAGAGGGACACATGCCGCCGCCGAAGGCCCCGGCATGGTGGCCACGCGCGTCATACTTGAACCCTGCTTTGCGTTCATACGTACGACCACGACTCCATTTAGTAGCTCGCGCCAGGTACGCCGACTTGGTGTGGTGGTGAGCTGAACGTTGCTGTTCTGCCCCTGCGTGTTGAAGAGGGTGTCCACGGTAAAGGGCTTGACTTAGAGCGCGTAGACGTTGACGACGATGACCATTTGGATGGAGAAGAAGAGCTCATTGTTGAATGCGGCGTTGATGAGCAAGAGCATGTACATTTTGCCGGGCTTCACCTTCAGTTTGAACCTATTTGATGTACATATCCACATACAAAACTGGTGATCACCGTGCAACGTACGGACATATATCTAGTAGTATAAAAGAGGGTCAACTGTGGCTCTTAACACAAGCTTATAAACACAGAATGAAAAAACACAACAGACTGAAAACTTGCAGGTATTCTGATATCAGGTGTGTTACAACACAATGTTACAATTAGCCTGTTCGCTGGCTGGTTTCTGAGTTGATAAGCCTGGCTGGTGCTGGTTTGATGTGAGAGAAAAATACTATACTATGACTGATAAGTCCTGACTGAAACCAATAAGCGAACAGGCTACGTGTCCAGGAATAAACTTGCAGGGTCGGCGGGGTCCACGGGCCGGCTGACCTGGACGTGCCCGTGGCCGGAAGACGGTGCCTTGGGCCCGAGGATCTCGCGGAGGCGGAGGCGGAGGTGGGTCCATCCCTGCACCTCTGTTGGAAGCGGAGACCTGCCGGTCTCCAACCGCTGGCTCAAGGCCCATTCGCTGATTCACATGCCCATGTAGCCCAACGCGTGCTACCTGCCGACTCCTGCCGAGCCAGAGCCCTCTGCCACTGCCACTGCCAGAGGCGATGAAATATTGGATTGGGAACAGGACCGCAGTGCTAATGGTCTCAGGTTTTGTAGGACCTTGTTTAGATTGTTTCAAAGTTTCAAGTTTTTTCACTCTCTCTTCATCATATTAATTTTTGGACATATGTATGGAGCATTAAATGTAGGTAAAAAAATTAACTAATTGCACAGTTTGGTTGTAAATTACGAGACGAATCTTTTGAGCCTAGTTAGTCCATGATTGAACAAAGTTTGTCAAATACAAACGAAACGTGCTACAGTGTCCAGATTGCAAAAATTTGCAATCCAAACAAGGCCTAGGTAATAAAACCCTGTATCAAACTTGCATTCTCTTCTTAAATGGTATGCAGTGCTCATGCAAACTTTCAGGAAAAAAAATGATGGATCATTATAATTCAGGCAGTCAGGAAACAGCATTGCATCATGATTGAATGAGATTTAGGTGTCAGTTTCAGAAAAAGAAATGCAGGTGTTCCCTTTTATTTTCATGGTGACCAACTTACAAATGGATAGATTTAAACATATCCGATTTTATTTATTTATTTATTTATTTTTGGTGAGCACAGACAAAGAGCTACATCTGATGGAAGCTCAATGCCACATGCTAAAGTTCAATTTCACAGGACAGTCATGTAGCCTTGAACACAATTGGTGGAAAATAAGAGAATAATAAAACAAATAAACTAAGACCAGGACAGGCCTAGGCACACTATTCTGCGGCTCTGCCTAATGTGGCAGGAAGTTCGCCCTCAGATAGCCGTACCATATTATCAGAATCTTTGGATGCCTCCTCTTTATGTTGATCTCCATTAATAGGGTTATGGATCTACGTCATGATCGAGAGCATCCAACCCTAATATGATTGGTTGGCCTCTGTCGCACAGCACTATAAAGAAAGATGGGAAGACAGGGCTCTAACTACGAGGTTGCCCTGAGCCGCCGTAACCACCAACAGAAAACCTAATCCGATCTAAAGTGAGTGCTGCCAGCGACGGAAAGCCCCACCGACTCCGTCGTCGTCTCTGCAGTGCCATCACCGGGACACTGTACCTTGCGTCGCCGTAGGGACTGCGACTGCACTTCAAATCCGGTCGCTGCGGGCGCACTAGCTACTAAGGTACACCAACAGATATTTGTTCTTTACCCGCTAGATCTACACCTATAGTTTAGAACTTTTTAACAATGGTACCAGAGCCAAAGTTGTCAGTGTGTAGATCTAGTATGGAGTAGAGCATTGAAAAGAAATCAAAGAAAGAACAAGGGTTATATCGACACATAATTTTCGTCTCCGTGCCGAGCACACACGTAGCAAGCCGGAAGGATCCGCTCGATGGAGCAGATCCGCCTAGCTTCAGCGCAAGGGTGGTCGATCCTGCGCAATCCTCCCGAGACGTGTCAGTCAATTTGACCCTGCAACTGACAAGGAGAGAAAGCTCATCAGTAATTAAGGGCGAAACGTGCCGGTGTTGCCAGATAGTCCCAAATGTGCGGCTCTGAGAGCCGATATGAGAGGTGATCGACTAAATAGTCGATTTCAGCATATTCATAAGAATAAATCGATTAAAGCTTATGGGGTTGTATAAGAAGAATCGGTTATCATTCAGGATAAATATTATTTAAGCAAATATTAATCAATGGCAATAAGATATCAATGATGATCGGTTTATACTGAGCCAATGATTGTAAGTAACCGAACTCTTTTTTATATAAAGAAACAATTCAACATCACTTGACCATTTAATAAAGATAAATCTAATGAACATGTTAGATCTCATCTATCGCTATGACCAGTGGGGCATGAGGCAGAATCATGCAGGCCGTAGAAACAACAATAGACTCGACGACCCTAACTCATTACTAATATCAGTGGGACACGAGGCAGAATCATGCAGGCCGTAATACAATAATAAGATCATGGGGCTATCATATCTATCAACTTATCTCTACTTCAATGATCTCGTAATGTGAACTGTTCGTGAAAGCGCTCGATATCGGCTAAATAGCCGA